GACATATTTGCCTAATTTAAAATTTGGAAAAAGACAATTATCATTTTCTATTCAGCTGTTCACCAAATATAGCCACTTCTCAATCATAATTAATAACTTATGTCTGCATTTGACTGATAAATAAAAATGCCATAAATTAAAAGAACTTGTCATTTTTTAATTCCATAATAGCTCAAATATTGTAGTTACTGTTTTTGTTTTAAAAAAATTAGATTCGACTACTGATAAAAAAATTGTATAGCGAGGGAGGCACTTGACATTCACCATTTAGTTGTAGTCACTTCCCTAAACAAAATAGTCATTTCCTAATTGTGACTAGTCACTGAATTTTAGTATTTGGACTTGACTGCTAAAAAAGTTTCCAATCATAATAGTTGGTTTTTAGTAGTTGTACTTGATTGATAAGCAAAAATGGCAAAAAGGAACTTGTCCTTTTCCACCATTTTAATCAATATACACTACAAAAAAAAAAAATTGACTATTGTTGTTGAAAGTTTTTAGTGGTGACATCTCTTGTTGATTTCATCTATGGCAACAATAAAAGTAAGTGCTAAAAATATTCAATCAATGTCGCCATTGAAAGGAAAATTTGTCGTCATTGAAAGTTAGTCACTTCTAAAAGTTAAGAATTGATGGCAATAAAAGTTGCTATAGAAATCACACATCAGTGGCGACTATTTAGTCGCTGTTAAATGTTAAGAATCAGCATTGACCTTTGTTGCTATAGAAACTACCAATCAGCGGCGCCATTTCACTGTAACCATATGGTGCCATTTCACCCTCCCACTTCCATGTGGCATCACATCACTTGCCATGCGTCATTAGTGTTACCCTCCACGTGATGCCTTGTCACCTTTCCTATGTTACTCTTACTTCACGCCCCATGTCATCGTGTCATCAATTTATATTTTGATTTCACAAATTGCCTCCTCCAAGGTTTGAAGTTTAAATTCATGACCTCCTTCTTTTGTATTCTACCATGTTGTCATTGAGTTGGAATGAACCTGTAGTATATTATTACATAATTAAATATATATTATTAAACTAAACAAACACACATATATCTTAAATATTAAACATTATAAAATATCATTACTATCATTAAATACTTCAATTTAATTCTTTTAATTTATTGAGATTTCAAATTATATTATTTATTTTAAATTTTTTACTTCTTGAGTTATTGTATTATTTATTTTAATATTCATATTTATAACTTTAATATAAAAATATCTAAGAATAAATAATAAAAATATAGATGATTATACATTAGATCATAATTATTTATTTTTCTAGCTAATTTTATTTAAAATTTTATTTTTACTTTTAATTAACAATAACTATTAAGTAATGGAATTGACTTGTTTTTACATTACATTTTACTTTCTTAATTAGTTTTCATTTTTAAATTATAATTTTATAAGAAAATTATACACTCTATTATCTAATTTTTTTATATACTCATGTTGCAAAATAGCATCAAATGAAAAAAAAATATAACATCACATAAATCGATATATTTCATATATTGTAAAAGTTAAAAGTAAAATTTTAGAATATATCATTTATTTTATTTTCATCTTCCTCTTCCCTATAATTAGTCATTGAACTGGAAACATATAAATTAACATCAAGTTTTAAAGTTACCAGTATTAAATGTAGAATTTTAATTAAAAAATTAGATTAGAAAAATATCATTCTATAAATAAACAAATTTAACTACCATATATATAATTATTATAAACAAATACTGTTATTGTCTAAAATATCATTTTAATCAAAAAAACATTTGAAAATAGAGAGACTCATTACCACATTATATGCATTCTAAAATTAAAATATCAAATATTAGGTTTTTGCAATGAATTTATCACTTTACATAAGGGTGTGTATTGGTTAATTCAATTAGATTTAGTATTAATTAACCAAAACCAATGAACCAAACTAGCCTAAATAGTTAGATCGAATCAAACCAAACATTACTTGAGAACAAAAATTGACATAAAATAATATGGTTTGGCTTAATTATTTAGTCTAACTCATTAGCATTAAATAATATCTTAATCTTATCTTAAAATAATTTTATTATTTTAAAGTTATAATTTAGCCATAAAATATATTAAATGAAAACTCACCCATTACATTATTTTATATATTCAATAAAAAATTACAATAATATAATAAAATCAATTTCTTGAAGTGTTAAATATAAAATTAAACAAAAAATAAAAAATTATGATGATAATATTTAGTTATTATTAATTGTTACGAAAGTCAAACTTTCAATTATGACATTAGTCTCACTTTCTATGGCAAATCTAAATTGCCACTGATTGTAAACTTTCAGTGGTGACATACATTTGTCGTCACTAAAAGTTTGGCAATCAACAGTAACTTTTTAGTCACAACAGAAAGTGAAACTTTCAGTAATGATTTTGAATATCGCCACTAATTGTCAAACTTTTAACAGTAACTTTTCTTGTCATTGCAGATTGTTCATTTTCAATGACTTTTTAGAGTCATCGCCGGAAGTCTTTTCTTTTGTTTTTTTTTTTGGGTAGTGATAGCTACAACAAAGTAGTCACTAACATTTTAACCAGTATTTTTCAGTTTTAAATTTTAAATTGGGACAAATATATGTCAATTTGTAAAAATCACATTTCACAGGGCTTATTTTTCATTTGTATATTTGGAGAGGTAGAAACGTCGAGTTTAATCTTATAATGAATAGGAGAAATTATTAGAATTAGAATTAGAATTAGTGGGTAATACACAGTAATTTGTTATCCACTACACTTTTGGTCACCATTTATTATTACAATAAAAGAACCAAATATTATCTCTTTTCACATGATTATTTTCATAGAAAGCAATTAAAGCTAAAATACACCTTTATTCCTTTAACTTTGCCTAAGATTTTATTTAGATCTTTCATTTTATAAAATGTTTTTTCAATCCTTGAATTAACACTTACCTCGTTAGCTTCGTCAATAACAAAAAATTACATTAAAATTTTAAATATTTAATACAAAATAATTATTTGAACTAATTGCCTTGTTGGGATTGGAGGAATAAAAATGTACTTTATACAATTAAGGAATCAAACTGAAATCTTATATAAAATTAAAGAATTAAATATATACTTTAACCTTTGTCGATTGAGGAAATTACGTTGGAAGATTCTTTTTCCTATAATATAGTTGCAACTCTGCTTGAATTAGAATAAGTGGGCAATATAATATGATTTTTTACAAAAATAAAAAATAGAAAAGTATGTTCGAGGAAGTTCTTTTACGAATACTTCACAAAAACCAGCTGGCATTTGCCTTCGTGGTTCATACGTTGCTTGACATTGAGCCACTTAGCCTAGGCTCAAATGCTGGTAGATGAAAAAACTAATGAATATTTTAAAAAACAAACAATTTCTACTGCACACAATAAATATCCTGGTATAAATGGTCGAAAATTCATTATTTATCCCACTCATTTCATATTATATATGTATATATATAAGTTGATATAACTATCTGACTAGAAAAATTCAAGTATTGTTGGGTTCAAATTGAGTATAGTTCTCTCAAGAACATTTTCTATATTTACATTAATTTGAACTCGAGATCTGGGAACTTTGGGATTCATGATAATACATTTTTTACAGCTACCTCATATTCAATAATACCAAGTCAATTATTTTTTTTATCGCAGGAAAAATATAATTTTAACATTTATTATATTGATGGAATTATAACAATTTATTTTCATTATATTTTTACTCATAGATACAAATGACATTTTAAAATTACAACCTTTTTGTTCTTTTTTTTTTGTACATTAAAAATATAATATTACAATATAGATGGTTTAAGATTTGATTTGAAGTTTGAACAATGAGAATTTTTTCCCCTAATTATCAATACCTTACATTTTCTGTTTTGAAGTAAAAAAATGAAAGATAAAATTAAGTAGGCTTATAACCTGGATCAGATAGACTATTGATATGCATACAGAATGTTTGTCTAATGAAAACTAAAAGTTTGTATTTATATAATATATAAAGGTTCTCTATACTACATATGCCGCATTATATATCATTAATTTACCTTTAATCTTCTTTTCTTTATGTAAAAAAATTCAGATGAGTTGAGTCTTGATATCTCACTAAAACTAGGATATGTCACCAAACTCAAAGAACATTTTCAAATTATCAACCAACTAGGTTTTTATATTGACAATGGGATTTGAATCTCTGATCTTGTAGGTGATAAGTCTATCTACTAAACCAATCTTTATTGATTTACTTTTAAACTTCTATTTTCGATCACATAGCCCAAAAGATTGTCTTCATCAGTTTATTATTTTCATTCCTTCAAAAAATGAAATAATAATTCAAACCATGCATGCATCCATATTTCCATCATACGGGTAATCTAGATGACACATAAAAGAGTGGTGTTTGCCGGGAAATGTGGGGAGAAAATAAATTGGTAATAATAGCATAAGGATATTTACATTTTAACTCAAAACTTTAAAGGCAGTGCATTCTCATTTATTATATATAAGTTATTGAATCTAACTTTATCCAATATGAAATTTTCTATATGGACTCAAGTTAAGACTCTAACTCTGATAACACTTGCTAGAAATGTGGAAGGGTCACCCAAAAATGGGGAGATCAAGAGAACAAAAAGGACGCAAAAGAATACCACACTTTAACTCAATATTTTAAAACTTAAGTTTGTATCTCTTTCCTTTTTACTATAAATGAGTTATCAAACCCGGCTTTTTCTGATGTGGAACATCCAATGTCAACTCAAGTTCAAACATCAACCTAACATTTCAAAATCTACGTGGATATGGATTCAATTGTTCACATATTTTTTATTCATATATATATATATATATTAATTATAACTCAGCCACATTCATTTATGGCCTATAAATACACCACGAGAGGCAACCACAAAACGCAAACTAGTCGTCGTCATCATCATCATCATCATCTTCCTGTTCTTCTTCATTCCAGAATCATCAGATTTCATACGACATGATGTCGTCCAAGATCATGGCTTCCATTGCAGCAGCTTCAAGTGCCATGATCTCTCTGCAACCTTCATCCTCGGATGAGATCAACCCTTTCACTGCACCTGATGCAGTCATCTCCAATCACATCATCGGAATTCATGACTCTCAAGCTCCCAAATACGATGTTGATTCTCTTTTCAACGTTGTTTCCAACATTGTCAAGAACACTCATCTTGGCCAATCCCTTGATCTCAAGGTACGTATTGATTAATTTAAAGCCCTAACTATTTGTGTATAATCTCATTAATTATTAATCACTAATTTTGTCTCAATGGAAAACAAAATAGCTCATTAATTCTGTATGTAATTTTATTATTTATTTATTCATTCATTCATTTGTTTGTTTAACTCTTTCTTTTTTGCATTTATTTTGACAGCGTCCCAAAGCTGTTGAACTTATAGAAGACAGGATTCCACAGTCATGTTTTATGCCACCTTTCAGCACCCTCAAAGAAATTGCTTTCCTGGTCATTCGTCATCTCCTTATTCTTTATCTATATATATATATATATATATATATTAAATTAATAATTTATGTGAGTTAGATCCCAGAGACTTATCTCCTTATTCTATTCATCAACTTAATTTGAAGTTTTTGGTCTATGGAGCATCAAAACATAAAAAAAAAAAAACATATTCATATCTAATATGATACACACATGATACTCCATGACACGTATTATATATTTTACTATTTGTGTTACTATATTTTTTTATCAGATGATATGAAAACTTAAAAATCAATATGTTGGTTGATTATTATAAACAATATTTATATTATTTTGAAAATACTTGTTTCACTCAAGATACCTATACTTATCACCTAAAATATTGAATCACCCACATACAAACACATATATATAGATATTCTCGTACTCATATCTTAAATTTTTGAAAATTGCCATATTCAATGTATTTCGCCGTATCATATTGGACACAAACATGTGTTGATTCTTCTACTCAACAACACCAGAAAAAAAAAATTAGGTTGAATGAAAAAAAACTTAATACTAATAAACGGTCGGGGCCTTACAGATGACATGCAAGCCTTTCAGCCGATCTACGGCACACGAAACAGTAGTGGGGATTCTGGAGAAGCTTCGAAGCTATACATGGGATGCGAAGGCAGTGATAGCTCTCTGCGCTTTCGCGTCGGACTACGGCGATACTTGCCGGCTTTCTCTGATGGAACCGACGAAGGAAAACACACTTGAACTGCACATTTTCAGGCTTGGGGAAGAAAGCAAGCCTAGCCAAAGCAACCTAGACCTAATAAGCACCTTGATAGATATAACATTTAAGCTTATTGAAGGGATATTAACATTGGAAAAGATAATAGCTGATAACACGTACAGTCCAAGGGATGTCCCAACTTTATATGCTGCCCCTCGAGACCTTTACACTTATTGGGCAATCTTGGCCCTTCTTACTTGTGCGGATCGAAAGACTGATCTGTGAGTGATCCATTTTTCTTTCATCATTTTAATATGATTTCTTCTGGCGTAATTACTCTTATATGCTTAGCTTTATATACTTAAGGTTCTTATTTCTAATTAAACTCTTGCTATTAATAGTAACACACTATAGAATTCACTTGTTTTAATTTAATTGAATAAAAATATATCAAGTATATAAAACTAGTATATAAATCTTTCCCGGAAAAGTAAATAGACAAAGAAGGGAGGTGAGACCAAGCACTGGTGGATTTTTTTTTTAATGTATAATAAATTCATCTTAAGTATGCAAAGATGATATATTAATATGCAAGATGACGGATTCCTTTTAAATATATTAATGGAGTCAATACACAGTATTCTTTGTACGTAATTGTAGTTTTATGTTTGTCAAGTACGGTACTTTAATTTGTTTGCAAAAGAAACACATGATGAAGCGTGGGGCCCACTTAATTAATTAGGGTAGAAAAACACCAAAAGAGTAAAAAAAGAACAAAAGAAAAAGCGCTGGTCAAAACAAAGAAAAGAAAAGAAATGGCACAAAAATAAAAACGAAAAAAACAAAAACCTATTAATGTAAGCCTGGAGGGAGAGGGGCACTAAAAGGGACAAACCGGGTTCCTCATCTCGTGTTTTATTTCTCTCATAAATGACTATATTTTTCAAGTAGAAAATCTTGATTTTAATTTCCTAACTTTTGCCTCCTATAATTTTTATCTCATATATATATATATATAGATATATATATATATATATATAGATATATATATATATATATATTATGGGTATGTGGTTCCGGCCGGTTTTTTCTTTTTTTCTTTTTCCCTATTGTCTCCTTAAATGATTGGAAGAATCTAGAACTTTTTACATACCATTTTAAGAATGTTCTTAAATAAGGGTAAAAAATAAGTCAAATAATTAGGTTTAGGGTTGGCTAAATAGGTTGGGTCTACATTATGAGCCTTTAAGACTTCAAATAAGCTTGGCTTATATGTACTCTACCATTATGTTCTTTTATACTTTTTTATGAATCTATATCCCTTTACCTACATTTTAGAGCTTGTCATACTTCCCTTTATAAAATAAATAACATGGTGATAAAACATTTTATTGCATATTTATTTTTTATTATAATAAAAATTTTCTTACTATAGGCATCATACCAACTATCTTTTCAAATTATTTAATTTCCTTGGGTGTTGAAGTATATTGCATTGATCTAGGGATTGGAACGTCAAATCTGAAGTTGTTGGGAAGCTCAATCACGTTCTCATGAGATTGAATAAAGAAGTCACTGAGATTGAACAACACAAAGGTTTCATTTTTTTTTAATAAAAAGACAGCTTCTGTTCTGAGTTTTTCAAGTTTTAAATCCTAATTAATTATTTGAAACATTAATCAAATTAAGTTGACAGTACTAATTAACTGTACTTCTTTGAAATTTTCAGAAGCTGGCAATGATCGAACATGGCGATCACGAGTGCTTCTCTCTCCTTCTGGAATTGTGGAGCTTTTAAGGGCTTTGATCTTCCCCAGAGAAACTGTTGAGCTTGAAATCTTTGATAACACTTTACAACAAGTGGTCAGTTCTAATGGAAAAAAAGTTAAATTATTTCCTTCAATTGTAAATCTTCTTTTTACACATACAATGTCAATAATGGAACGTTCAAAAAAAGAAAGTTAATATCTGATAAGAACTCTAAACATCCAGATATTTGTTAAAACAATAACCTTACTCAGATATTAAACTTTTTAATGATCTTTCATTGATATTCTGGTCTTATTTATAAGATAGAAAAAAAATTTGATTCTATTTATAAATTACATTATTAAATTTTTGTAACAAAAATTTCCTTTTATCTCCTATTAAATGTTGGTGAGAAAAAAATATCATTAAACTATGCATATTTAACAAGGAAAAAATTGAAAACTTATTAAATTTTTAAATAGAATTAATAATTTTTAAGATTTTTTTTTATGATACATTCTAAAAGTGACTTTTAAATATAGGATCAAAGGAGTGTGTGCGCGCCAATAATGAATCAATAACTTTTACATTTTTATCTAACAAAAAATAAGACATAAGATAATTCCATTCTTGATATATATCAACCATATAATAGTAATAAACTAATTTAAATAATTTAAAGTTAATAAAGATTATTCTAATTAGTAAGGATTTGACCAATTTGAGAATACCTTCTTGAGTGAATATCTGTAGGTACCTTCATAAGTATTCTTTGAATCTAAAGACATGTAATAGTCCAAATTCATATAAACATTTTGCATCAAAATCGAATTCTTGTTAATTACTGATTGATCTTAATTATGTTTTTTTTTTTTGGCGGGCCAAACAGGTAAGCAACGATGTGCTGAAGACGAAGAATCTGTTACTGTTCATTTCTGGTCTGGACAACATAGAAAACGAGATTTCAGTTCTGAAATCTATCCACGAAGCATTGAAAAAGGACAGAGAGAAGCAAAAGCACGAGATTCTATGGATTCCTGTGGTGAACGACGAGACTGAAATAAGTGAAGAACAAGCAAAGTTCAAGCATGTGAAGTCAAGCATGCCATGGTACGTATTACAGAACTTGAAGGTGATAAAGGGAAAGAAGGTGGTAGAAGACGAGTGGCATTACCAGGGAAAGCCTATTGTGGTTGTGACAAACCCTAGAGGTGAAGTAATCCATAAGAATGCTCTTCATATGATCTTCATTTCAAAGATTGAAGCCTTCCCATTTCGACCTGAGGATGAAGGAAATCTCATTGCTCAATGGAACTGGTTTTGGAACGAAGCAACTAAGGTTCACCCAGAGATCAGAAAATGGGTGAGTTCTAATGTAGAGTTTGAATCTTTCTTTTTTGTTAGATTGAATATTCATGTAGTAGAGTCATGCACTTGAGGTCTCAATTTTTTATTCTATAAAGTTTACTGGGAAAATTACACTTAAATTCCCTGCAAAGTAATTAAATATCACGAGGTTCATTATTAGTTAACCTTCTGATATCATAGACACGGTCACACATAGTTAGTGGTCCATGCCCTTGCTATATATATATATATATATATATATAGAGAGAGAGAGAGAGAGAGAGTTGAATTAGATCTCAAGTCCTATTCATTATATACAGCGCCTAACCTTTTGGTTTGGTTCAAAAGAAAATTAGAGATCAAGAAGAGGAATTAAAAGAGAAATCTTCTAAAAATAGTAAAACAAATTTACTATTTTTAAAAGTTTTCCTTTCTAAGATCCCAACCAAGACTAGCTAAACCCTGTTTGGAATGAGAGAAAAATAGGAAGCGAAAAAACTATGAGAGAAAATAAGATAAAATTACATTTTCCTTCGCCCTAACACAATTTTTCCACTAGTGTTCTCCCTCTCTATGGGAAAATTAAGAGAAAATGAGGGAGAAAATGTCTTTTATCTTTCCTAATTTTCTCTTCTCACTATTTTCTTCCTATTACAAAGAAGGTAAAAGTCGAGCTAGCTGTTCATGACTCACTGGACAATGCAGGTTTATAGTAATATATATATATATATATATATATATATTTGATGTTGTTTTTTTTAATTTTATTTTCTTGTCTTTCCTACAAACTAATGAGCGATGCAAATTTTCTCAACATACAGATTTGGGATGATAAGTACGTTTTCTTCTATGGAGGGACTGATATTGGTGGGACCCAAAGGATTGGTACATTGATAGAAGCCATTAAAAAGGACCCTATCATCAAGCAAGCAGACGCGCCAATTGAGCATTTCAATCTCTCAAAGCTCGATCCAAACTCAACATCCAAGTTCTGGGACAACATCAGTCACTGTTTCCTAAGCCTAATTCAGAGAAACAATCACGAACAAGACCCGGTCCTTAAAGATATTCAGACGTTACTGTCGTACAAGAATGAAAAATCTTGGATTCTTCTAAGCAAAGGCGGGAAAGTTCTGGTTTTGGGGTATGATCCAGTGGTAACGAGTACATTGGAGAACTTTGATGAGTGGAGATTGAACGTGCAAGTTCTTCAAGGTTTTGGCAATGAATTCGTGAATTACTATAATCAGAACAAGCCTAGTGTCCCAGATCATTGTCTTCACTTTGAATTGAACAATATTCGAACGAGGATTCCGACGTCCATCACGTGCCCTGAACCATCTTGTCGGAAGAAGATCATGGAGATTGAAACTGTTTGCTATAAGTGTTGCCATGGGATCCATTATCAGAATCCATCGGAGAACTTGAACAGCAGTGAGACTCATGAGTCTCATGTTCTGAAATCCAAGTGGGCTGAATGATCATTGATCGATGAACTATATAGTTTGCCAATTGGCTGTATATAATAATAATAATGAATAAATTATATGCATGGTTATTGTGTGTGTGTGTGTGTGTGTACACGTACGTACGTACTTATTATTTGTTGTGAGTGACTATATATGTCGTGTACGTCATCTGTGTGTGGTTTAGTACGGATATTAAATAGATGATGATGCTTGAATGTTGTAATGCATATTATATTGTATGCTCCGATAGATAATATTGATGTAAAACTATTATATTTCTTCCGATTCTATTTATAAGTCATTTTTATCAACTTTATTAATACCAATACAACAAAAATACAAAAAATAAAATTTAGTAAAATTACAAACATAACATTCAAAAAGTAAATAAATTATATAATATTATTTTTATGTTTCTCTCTCTCTCTTACTTTTTAAGAGTGGTTTAGATATTTTATTTAAAACAAAATATCACAATCAACCCAATAATTTATAAAGTGAATTATTTTGTCCTTTTAAAAGATGCCTAATAAAGTGGACTAGAGGGGGTATGTTTTACTTTAGCATGTTTGAAATGATTTTGATTTTTAGCGATTATTTATAAACACACAAATAAACGGTGAAAACAAGTTTCTCATCCATGAATAGATTCATACTAACTCCATACATAAGTCATCTAGAAACAATTGACTTTGCATCATCAAACAAGGTTTTTTTTAAAAAAATAAAAAAATATATACACATTGATAAATTGAACCCCTAAAAATATGTTTAAGAGACCTAACTATCTGTCAGATGTGCTAGACTTTATATTAATTTTCCATTCGCGAATGCGCGAAGTCCCTCAACATCATGCCTTTGACATGTACTAGTTGTATCTCTTCCAATTGAAGCTTTTTTTTTCCCCAAAAAAAAAATCAAGTGAGTTTTATCTCAATAGCTCACTAGCGCTAAGAAATACTTCGAAGCTCGAAAAGTATTTATAAAATTATTTACAGGTCACCCACCAATACAATCTTTACATCAACAGCAAAATTTAAACTCACAACTTGTTAATTATAAGTTAAATACTTTTCAATTATATTAGCCTTTATTGGACGCTGGATGAGCACATAATTGCTAGGATGGGTGAAACAACATTGGAGCCCGGTTTAATTTGTCATTTTTGGGCCAAACTCTATCAAAATGCTCACTAAAGACCTTGTAAAGCCCCAAAGCGTAAAATTGGTAAAAAACACAAGCTCTCAATTTAAGCGTAAAACTGGTTTAATTTCGTAATATTCTAACACAATTTCAAGTATAAATGCGAGTATTTTATATGCATGAACTAAACCCGTCAAATTAAAACACAAGCTCTCAAGTTCAAACTTGTGTAAAAAATGCCAAAAAAATCCTTCAAGAGCGTTACCTACTACTTGGAAACCGGGTTGTTTGTTTTTTTTTAAAAAAAAACAAGAAATAAATACATCAAAATGATAATTTGATATGTACTGTTGATAATTTCTTACAACATAATAAATCACAGTTCGAATCTCTTATAAGAAATGTATCCACATTGAGTACCCAATAATACATTGAATAGAATTATCTTCAATGAGAGAAAACCTGTGGGTAACCATAAAAGATATTATGCTTTTTTTGGGGGCAGAGATAGTGTGCTTTTGATATACTTGCATATGTGTAAAAAATTGTTGAAATTGGAATATTTAGATTGTGCTTCTTTTGATCATATTTATGGGATCAATGACAAGAAATTATTACAAAGACGTAGTGAACCACATCATCCCTGCTCCATCCAACAAAAGCATGACATTCAATTAGCATTAAATATAAATTAACTTTAACATTAATGATAATAGAGAGATAAAAGGAAAGAAATTAAATTAGTCTTCTATTATAAAAATAAAGTCATTAAAAATAATGACACATAAGATTTTCTTTGATTAAATTGGCGTGGTAGATGACATAGTGCATTAGGTCTATGAAAAATTTTCTCCATCAATAACTCTTGATTTGTTTGTCCATGAGATATAATCAGAAAATAATGTGCTCACTATGAATTGAAACGTCGACTTAATTTCTAATTGAACCTAGATTTTTTTTATTTATATTTACGAGGTAAGTTGTCTTCATTTAAAATTGTGTATCAATGCCTTTCTACAAGAGATGTTGGGTACATAAAAATTTTGTGATTTTACAGCCAACTCTATGTATTACTAATTTTGTGATCTCAAGCTGAAGATTTGCATAACTGTTTACAATATATGCCTACTTTCCTCTTTCTTTTAACTATCCTGAAATTTAGTGACGAAAATTAAATTTAGTATTGCTTAGATCTAGAGGTTATAAGGTTCTTTTTTTGGGACAATAACACATCTAGTTTTCTATTCAAAATATCTCTGGGATTGATAAATGGAAGAAACAACATAATTTTTTTTATTTTATTAGCATGATGAAGTAGTGATTATGGATAAATTAATTTTAATACTGTGAAAACATTTCAGTAAGTACAGAAACAATTTTAAAGGAGCAAAATCGTTTTAGTTGTATTGTTAAAAATATTAAAAACGAATTTAATGAAATTAAAAAAAGTTTACTGTAAAATTAAAAGTTTAAAAGAACACTTTTGTGTATAAAATATCTTACTATGATCATCAAACCCATATAACTTCATGTTAAAAATTTATTAGTTCTGAACGTGGTCGAGTAGTAATTGAATTTGTGGCAATTAAAATAAAATATATATAATGTATGTTTTGCAGGAAAAAAAACAAAATATGTATTAAAATTGTGTATCAATGTTTTTCAAATATGCATAATGTATGTTTTCCAAGAAAATAAAATAAAATAATGTACACTCCCTTCATTCAAAAATGCATAACACTTTTAATCAAATCTCACCCCTAATAAAGTAATTACTTACTTTTAAATTAACCCCATCTTTTTATATTTATCCTTATTAAATACCGTACAATAAATATAAAGTTATTTATCAATAGAGACACTTTTGAAAAAAAATAATGATTATATTTCAAAAGACTAAAAATGTCTTACATTTTTTAACATCCAACTCCTCAAAAAATACCTTACATTACATTTTTGAACGGAAGGAGTATATAATTGTATATATATTTGAAAAATAAAAATAAATATTCATGCATATTTTGACCATTATGAGCTATTTTTCATTTGTTTTACCTATTTTAATGAATATTAAAGTATAATTTTAGTTTTCTAACTTTATATAAGGTTTCATCTGAATCTTTTAATTTTATAAAATATCTTTATGGTTATTATTTAACCTCGACAATTTTAGTTTCAGCAACAAGAAATTTTTATATTAAACCTTTAAATATTAACAAAAAATTCTTAAATGTTTACATATTAAGTTTAATTTTTCAAAATAATAATGATTGATACAAAAGATAATTACTTGAAAGTAACATGTTAGAATTAAAGATTAGATAAAATATTTTATAAAATTAAAAGACTAGACTAAAATTTTATATAAAGCTAGAAGATCAAAGATATATTTTATTAGCCTTTATTGAATTAGTGATTTGATGAATCAATTTTGACAATATTTCAAATTAGAGTAAGGCTTTATTTGTACCCCATTGTGACATTGATGCGTAATTAGTCAGTCAAAAAAAGGAAATAATAATTTCCACAGAATGTCCTAGAAAACGTAACAGAATAAAATGGCGTCCTCTTGAATAAAGAAAAAGAAGAAAGCTTACTTATAATAGTGATTTTGTTTTCTTTTGAACCTTTTTCCAAATAATATTATCTTTTCCCCATTCTTTCTAACTCTACTAAACCAATCACTGTCTGCTCACATGAACTATAACAAAACTGGAAATTTTTGACGGAATTTAGTAAAGAAATTTTTACAGATTTGTCGTGTAAATTTTGTGACACTTTTATTTGCAACAAAATTGTCTATCATATAGAATTAATCTCATGGATATTTTTGTCAATTATTGGTAAATATGATGAAAGTTAAATAACAATTGGTTTAAAAGATAGAATACATTCTTTTCACTAATTAATGGAATCTTCCGCCAAGGGTCGACACTTTTCGCAAGTAGTTGGGTCTCTTATTCCTTGCCATGTGTTTGAAAAACTAATATTTTATTGGAAGAGGCAAGCCTCACGGGAAATTTAAAAATTTTAATTTATTTTAATTTTTTATTTATTAAAATAAAAATTATAAAAAATTTTAATAAATATTTTTATTATTAACTGAACAGTATACATTTAACTTGAATTATCCAAATTTAATATGAAATTTTTTTTAATTTTATAAATTTACTATCCTGATTTATTCTGAATAAGATTTAAAATTCTAACTTACAATTTTTTTAAAAAATATATTTTCTTAAAAGTATCAGTTATGATATTATCTTAATTTTTAATATTATATTTATTAAAATAAAAAATTATAAAATGTATAAAAAAATTAAATGTTAAATTTAATCTATCTATAATACAACTGAATAATTAATTTATAAAAATTATAAAAATATTTATTAAATTAAATCATTCATATTAAATTTATATTATCCTAATTGATGATAAATTAAATATTAAAAAATTCATAAAATTATTATTTTATTGTATATAAAATAAAAATTAAAAATATTAAATTTGAATCCTTCAGATTAATTTCTTTTCATAGTGATGATCATTATGATACTGAATAATTAATGATACATTATTTATTTAAAAATTCATAAAATTATATTTTATACAGATCCACTCTCACTTCTGTAATCTCTTTGAAAGATATTAAATAGTCCTTGACTGTTGGCTGGTTATTCTATTGGCTTGGTACGTACTAAAATGAAATATCCCACTAGCTTGACACTCATAAATTATTTATGCGCTTTTTTTTTTTAAACCAAAAGTATGTTCTCTTGATGATGCTATTTTATAAGCAGTTTTCTTTCTCTTGCTTTTAATTGATGGGGACAGAGTGATAGCTCTCTTTATTTTTTATTAGAGTTAGCTAATTCAAGCTAAAACGATCATAATTGAGTCATTAGTTCTATAGCCTTTGCTTTCAATTAAAAAAGGGGAAATTTGAATCATTGTAGAAACAACTTATCCTTAAAATTGATTTCTGTAATAATCTATAAAGAGACAACGTGTCACACACACACACACAGAGACAAAGAGATTATGACAGTTTCATTCTTTGCAGTATTCACAATCTTATAATATTCTGATTCTTTTTGCATTTAGTATCTTATTCTTTCCTTGAACGGTTAGAACACTAAAAGATATATATAGACACAGACATGGCATCTTTCTGAAAAGCAAAAGTTCTAACATCTAAAGAAGCATAAATGGATAAAACACACGATAAAGCTCATGCTATTAATTATTCTCTGGGGTCCAATTTAAGGCCACAGAACGAATAATTTTTTTATATTATTTATAAGTTATATCATTAATTTTAATTATAAATTTTTCTTTTATCCTATATCAAATGTTGGTGATAGAAATTAAAGTATATTCTATCAAAGAATGTATATTTAATATAGCAAAGTTGAAAACTTGTTAAATTTTTAAACAAAATTAATGAGTTTTAGGTTTAGTTTGGATGGATGGAAGATAAAGTCCCACATCAGCTTAAGTCTTTGACATTAAGAATGGAGAGCAATAGCCCAGAAGAAAATAAATAGGTAAGAAAAATGGAAGAACACCACACATATATCTTATAAACTCAAAATCTTAAGACTCATGAATCATTCTTCTTTATTATATATATTAGATATGAAGCCTAATTTTTTTATTGTTCATAGTTATCCCCTTATTAAAGGCAATATTATACAAGGTACAGCCAGGCACTAAAATGTTAACAACTTGGTTCATTATATTATAAGGGATTAGCCCTTTTCACAAGATCCAATCCCTGCCCAACTTTATTCCACTCATATTAGAACAACTTAACACCTCCCTATTTTTCTCCCCATCAAAACCAAGTGTTAAGATTTTCTTTATTTCCAGTAAAATATGTTAGCAATGACTTATATAAAAGACCAAAGGAAATAATTGCTTAAATAAAGGGCACGTGATTCATGTTCCCTAGAGACAAGAGACAAGGTAGCCAATATGTTTCTTAGTCTCTCTTTTATTATCAAAAGAAAAGTTAGCCAATAAACTAAACAAAACACACACGATTAATTAATTAAATCTTTTGGTAAAGTGACTTGTGCTTCTGTCTTTGCTCTAATCCCTTTACGCAAGCATAAGGCTATAAATATGGTAACACACCTGGCAAAATATCACAAAACAATATCATCATCGTTTGTTTCAATATTCATTCGAATCCTACTGAAGCAGAATGGCCTCAGCATCGTCAACCACGTCGCCGCTGAGAATGACGATGATGCCGGACCCAAACATGAAGCCATTAACCCTAGATGATAAGCAGATATTAGGACTGGTTTACGATTGCTATGTCGTCAACAAACCTGGCGAAACCTTCGATCCTGAGGCTCTTTTCAGTGTCGTCTCTGACATTTTTATTCGTTCATTTCGTACTGCTGATCCCAGCATCAAGGTAACAATTATATAATAAACTTAATGTCCTGTTCTGTTATCGTCTTACAATAATATTACATTTGATTGGCTAATTAATTAATTATGTTGTTTAATTATAATTGCAGTACGATCCACTAGAGCAGGTCGACAAGACTTATCTTGCAAATCTGGAGCCACCGACAGATTTACTCAAGCGTTTTGCTTGTCAGGTTATAATTCTCTAACAGATGCTTGCATGCATGCATGCTAAGAATTAATTAATCTTTGATTTCCTTAATTTTTGATATATTTTCTGCATTGAGGTTTTTGTCAAAGCCAACACAAAAATAATGAAATATTTTTTTCCTCCTTTTAGATGCCACACCAAACATATAATTGTTTCATTACGTTAGTACTCATATCTTCTCATTCACATTTTTCATTCTTACAAATTTTTTTTTTATTCATAAGTAACCTGGTGGCCTTCTATATCTCCTTGTAACCCTCAAGTGTATGTATTAACTCTGTGTGTGTGTGTCTCTCCAAAGTGACCAAATTTTGATTCTTAAGATGTATGGGACTCACTAATCACTACAGTGGCGGAGGGTAGCTGGGACTGGTAAAGGTTATATCCTCCAAGTTTTAAGATTTTTCTTAGTATTATATATATATATATATATTATACATTTTTAGTCTTAAAATGCATGCATACTTTGTCTTATACTCTCTCCCATCTAAAATATAGGATACTCTTAACTACTTCATAAGAACTAAGATAAATAGTTAAAAGTTGTTTGTACGGTTAAAATTGTAAAAAATTATCACTATCTTCCAAGATTACCCTCCAATTAAAATCAATTGATTTTAATTGATTTTACAATACAATTAGTAAAATATTATCCCTACTGTCCAATATTTTCTTCCAATTAAAATTAATATTTATCTTAATTATCTTTAATTTCTCTCTATAATACAATTAACAAAAGCATTTACGGAAAACACCAAGAAGAGGAGAATATCAATGAAGGGCCATTAAATTATCTGATAAAGATTTTGGATATATTAGATACTTGTTAAAGCAATAATTTCAGTTGTTAATTTATTAATGTTCACTTGATATTAAATTCTTTTAGGAAATTTTTATTGGTATTCTATAAAAAAACTTAATGCTATTGACTTTTTGTAAAATGTTTCTATATTTAATTTAGACCAACACTAACTAATAAAAAATTTTCTATATTTTGGACCAATCAAATAAAATGTAAGCTTTTCAATCTCCGCTGCCCATCTGATAGAATTAAATCCCGGCTCCGTCCCTACTTGGCCCCCCTTAGTTCTAATTCTTGAAAGGTTCTAATTAGTATTTTTTTGCAACATGGTGACATGCAGATGAGGGAGACACAACATCATGAGTACCACACAAACGCACACCAAACAACAATGGCGATACTAAAAGCTTTAGAGTCATATTCATGGTGTGCAAAAGCAGTGACAGCACTGGCAGCTTTTGCTTTAGAGTATGGAATTTTCTGGCATCTCTATGACCAGAGACTTCAGAGACAAGACAGCCTCGGAAACTCACTAGCTGTGTTGAGTCATGTTCATCATGCCGCCCTCAACCAGAGGGACATCTCCGACTACAACGTTGTCGTGAAACATGTCTTCGTCACCGTCGAACACATCGTTAGGTTGGAGAGGATCATGAAAACTTATGATGGCAAGAACATTCCAACACTTGAAAAAGCCATGCATGAGTTTCCTGCTTTCGTTTACTGGACTGTCCTCACCATTGTTATTTTGGCTACTCATATCAATATTCTCTTCGGTTATCCGTAAGTTGTTTATATCTTCGCAAATACATATATACTTGATACAAATACACTTCTTCCGTTTAGTATTACAATGCACTTTTGATCAAATTATGTACACCCCTAATGAGTTAGTTATTTTTAAAATTACATACTCTTTCTATATTTATACTTTTATTTAATAGGATGTCTCAATTAAAAAACCTTAATAGGGTATTTTTGGCTACTCATATGAATATTCTCTTGGGTTATCCTTAAGTTCTCTATATCTCCATATATATATATATAAGCTTTCTTGCCATGTTGAATTTGGGTTATTTTATATATCTCACTGTTTCATCACAAGTTATTTGATCTTAGCTGTTCAAATCTTTTTCAATGGTAGTGCACGTAGTTTGTGCAATTGAAGAGAAATATGAGGGATGAGTTTCTGTGCGCTTATCATTGGGGTGAGATCTTTACTATCTAAAACTGATTTCAACTTCTTACCCAAAAAAAAAAACTGATTTCAACAGTTAAGATTTAAAATTTTAACCTATGTTTTTTATATAAAAATTATTTTTTGACAGAATGACAATTATAGGATTATCTTTGTTTAAAATTATGTACTTATTAAAATATTAATTTCTTCAAAATACAAAGATAAAATTATGTAAAAGTTGGATCGTGTCTGGTTTTGATCTAGACGGTCTAGACATTGAAATTGGTTCTAGATAAATAGACATCATGATAAATTCCATGTATAAGGCTGGACTCATCAATGTCTATACCTCTTTAGTTATACATAGTTTACGATTAAATAGTGTTCTTTGGTTTAGTCTTACAGTACAGAAGAGAATTCAAATTCAACTAAGTGTTTGGTATTTGAAAAGTTAATTTTTTTAATAATTGAATATAGGATAAATAACAGAATAAAACGTGATCCCCCACTTCATATTTATGTCATATATGTGAACTCAAACTCTTCAACTATAAGCTTTTCTAACTTGTTTAAATTATGATTTAATGCGACAGCTTTTTTTGGTCAAACATTCAAAAGGCAGGTTGGAATTTTGTGTGTGTGTGTGTGTGTGTGTGAACTTTCATTGGTTTTTCTTCTTCTACTTTTAAGATTTTCCTGATGACCATAACACTTTAAATCGTGGATTCAGGATGGGCAAGTATAAATTATCCGATATTGGCAGCAAGATTTCCACCATTGACATTAAGCTAAAGGATTATCTAACCCAGATAGACATGCAGAAAGGTCAGGATCTTAATTAATTAATTAATTAATTAATTAGTTAAAGTAGTGACATTAATTAATTCATTTGTATTTTGTGACAGAAATTAATCGAATTATTTTTCTATTATTGCAGCCTTCATAGATGACTATAGATCACGTGACAGAGTAGGGTTTCAGACTCCCACAGAAATCGTCCAAGTCCTGAAGTGTCTTCTTTTCCCCAGAGATTTGGAGAACCCACATGTCTATGATGGCTCCACTGGATCAATGGTATGTGTACCTACTAATATGTAATAAATTTAGTAAAAAATCCATAAACTTAAACATCAAAATTTATTTTAAGTTAAAATGTGGTGTCCCTTTACTACTTTTCACCCATCTGTTCTCTCTCCAAGGTTTTTAATGTTCTTCCTGATCGAACAGGTGAGCATCGAAGTGTTCCGGATGAACCACGTGTTGCTGTTTGTTTCAGGGCTGTACAGTATCGATGATGAGACAAATCTTCTGAGAGAAATTCACAAAGGACTGAAACAAAGCGATCCAAGAGTGGTGAAAGGGTTCAAAAAAGATGAGTTCAAGATATTGTGGGCCCCAATTGTTGATGAAGAAGAGCAAGATCATCGTACTCTCACATCATCATCATCATCCATGATCATGAGGAGGCAGCAATTCGAAGAGATGAAGAGGAAGATGAACTGGTACGTAGTGGACTACACGATTATTCCTCCGATATGCAAGAGGCTGATCAGAGATAGGTTGAAGTATCAGAATAATCCTATCGTGCCCGTGTTTAATCCTCAAGGTAGACTCACAAATGACGATGCGTTGCACATGTTGTTCACTTGGGAACTTCTTGCTTTTCCTTGGCGCAAAGGTGATGATTTGGCTCTTACTCAGAAATGGAACTGGATTTGGACTGACATGAAGAAAAGTAATCCCCAGATCAATAATTGGGTGCGTATGTTTATCAGTTTGAATATTCTTCTAAGATACTTCACTTTAAAGAATACAGATATGCAAGCATATTATCTGAAGATCACATTATTTCACTTAGAATAATACTGATTCAATTATTTGGAACAAAATTGAAGTCAATATATCTATCGTTAAGGAACTACGTACTGTGACAGTTAATGTATTATCTTATTTATTAGCCAGTTCAAACAGATCAACATAGATCAAAGCATGGTAACATAAGAACCCTAGGTAAATAAACAGGGTATGGACATCTAATAATGCCCCACTCTTATAACATTCCTTGTAATGTCCTAAGCTTTCATTTTTTTTGTCCGTTGTATTTCTTTTGATCAATAGATTATTACCAGAATGAGAAATGTTATAGTGACGAAATGGTATAATTTTACTTTTTTTAAGATTTTTTTTAAAATTAAAACAGCACTGTCACATCAGTACCATAAAATATCAAAATATATATTGGGAGCAAATAAATCTTCTAAAATTGATATCCATGAATTTTTGTGAAGCATTTTTACTTTTTTTTTTTAAAATAAACTTCATGAAATTTATGGATTCCTAACATCAGAGAGAATCTATTCTCCAAAATATCTCTATTTTTGTAGAATCTAATAATAAAAAAAAAAAAAAAGGGGAAATAACAAATGATAACCTCAAAATTAATGCCAAATAAATATTTTAAAAAAGATTTCAGTACTAAAATATAAGAAAAGGAATACTGAATTTGATAACTTTAATTTGAGAAAATCTTAAGTTTATATTAATGTTTTTATGAAATCATAGTTTAGGCCGGTCTTTGGGGTATTACAAGGGACATCAGACAGTGGCCGCATTACAGGCTCTAATAGTAGAAACTTGTCATAATAGGGTAGTTTTACATGGCAGCTCCATTTAATGTCTCGATTATTTGAAAGAAATGTGTTTTTGTGCTTGTGATGAACCAGATCAAGGATGACGCATACATCATTATCTATGGACGCACAGAAGCGGACTGGTACGATGATCAATGGTTAAAAAAGATGCCAGAAGCACTGGAAAGAATCAAAGCTGATGAGATCATAAGAAGATTCGACATTCGCATAAATCACTCTCACCATGGCAAGGGAGACAAAGAACGTCACACAGTTTCTAAATTCTGGTCTTACATCGAAAGCACATTCGACAGCATGAAAAGGATGAAGAAGACGACTGAGGATGATGTCGACGGCGACACGTTCAATCAAGTTAAGTCCTTCCTCGGACTCCGACAAGAACACTCAGGTTGGGTTATTCTGAGTAAAGGGCCAAACATTAAGCTTCTTGGTCGCGGGAACTTGTTTTATCAGACACTTCATGAGTTTGATTCATGGAAGCAAAACATAGAGCAAGATTCTGGGTTTGACGTGTCTCTGAAAAACTACTATGAATCTCTCTTGTCAAAGCTGCCACATCATGCTGCTCATTGTCGTCAGATGGTGTTGAAGAATTATCTGAGTAATATCTATGATCCTGTTTATTGCCCTGATTGTGGACTTCAAATGAACTTACGCTTAGCAGAATACACTTGCTGTCATGGACATCAAGATGATGATCAAGTTAATAATATTGCCGATACTGGTGGTGGTGATGTTGAGATTATGAGGTAGGATTTGATGATGGAAGAGCAAGGGAGAAAAGTTTGAGAGAGAAATGGGAAGAGAATGGTGAATCTAATTATCAAATCGGGGTTAAACTTTTCGTTACCTTTGTTTGGAATGAAAAGAAAATAGGGAGGAGCGAAAACTAAAAGGAAAAAAGACATTACCCTTGTTTTATCCCAAATTTCTTTCTAGGAAGGGATAAAACTGAAGGAAAAACTTTATCCTAAGAAGGAAAATTGTCTCTTTTCTCTCCTTTCTATTTTCTTCCCATTCCAAATGGAAGGTTCAGATTTTTTTGGTCCTGGCCTTGTTCAAATGCACACAAAGAAAGCCTTGATGGACTAGAAAATTTCAATCGGAGAGAGTCCGAATCGGTAGACATGGGGTCCACCTTTCTCTTCCTAGCTATCTCTCCCAAATTTCTCAACCCTAAAGTATTATTCATGAAGGTTCTAACTTGTGTGTGTTTTTCATTAAGTAGTTACTATAAATGTTTAATGTTTGACCAGCTCCTCTACATATATGTTTATTGGTTTAGTGATGGCGTTAGGATGTGTGTATGTGTGACTTAAGTATCTCTTTGATGTTCCATCATCAGGTTTAGAATAATGACTTCAAATCTTGTATTTGTTATGATGTAAAAGTTGTGCGTCAATATGATTCACTGACAATAAATTCGTACTTTAAGTTTTTTTTTGTTATTCATTAAATTTATTTAAATTTTCACTTTTATCCCTTGACTCTTTTTCGATTTCTCTATTAAAAACTATGGCTTTAATTTATTTCATACTCATCATAAAAATAAAAATATTATAATATTTTAAATTGGGTTATATACATTTATATGAAGCCATTAAGCAAATTGAATTTTATGGCTTATGAAAAGTGAAATTCTCTATTTTAAGATTTATATTTTTAATGATTAATGATCATGAAGTGTCTTTCAAATAAACTGTAAAAGGCTGATTTAAATAAAGCAATAACAGAATAATACCAAAATTCAAATCCCTGCTGGTAGAGGTGTATGTCCATATTAATGTCCAATTGTATCTCGAATAGGATTACTTTTAATATAAGGATATATATATATATATACACACACACACAATCAAAAAAAAACTAACTGAATATATAACATGAGCCAATTAAATTAAATTAATACTCCCAAAACACAATATTATTTAAACTCTTTTCAACATCAACTACAACTTGACGGGGGGCGGGGGGGGGAAGCAACACCTCCTATAAACTTCATATCTTTACTTAAATCACTTAAATAAGTAAATTAAAGAAAGAAGAAGACGCAAGGAAAAAGAAATATTTTAGGGAGAACGATCCTTTGAGACCAAAAGATCAAATAACAAAAGTTTTAGAACTATTAATTATTATAAGTGATTTTATTAATTATTATAGCTCTGAAATGCCCATATTTCTCCCTCACGAAACCAAACCTGGTAATACACAAAAAATACTATATGTAAAATCAATCTATTAGAGACTATAATCATAAAATTTTAGCACAATTTATTGCATAAATATGGATATCATGTATTTTTATAAATTGAAATCGAGTGAAATAGATTGGGAAATAAATAATACATGCATTTTTTTAAAAAATATTTTTCATCTTTCTTTTGGATTACTAGGAGGGAGCAAAACTAAATCAAATTGATCGGTCTATTCATTTATACAGTTTGATTTGATTTTTCTTTTTCTTAAAATTTAGATTTGATCAATTCAATTCAGTGAATTTGGTTTGCAAATTTCAAAACCAAATAGAACGAACCAACTGAATCATTCATATATGATTTTTTTCCTATGTATATATGGTTTGTTTGTTTATATATAAATAGTTTATTTTTTATGCATTTAAAAAAATAAATAACTTATATTTTGCTTCCTCTTCTGCTGCACAGTGGTTTGCGGTGATTTTTGGCATTTTCTTGCATAATTTTTTTAATATATATGCGCCCTTGCAGATGTAACAAATTAAAATGGATATATATATATATATGTATATATATGGGTTAAGAAGCAAAAATGTCCTAGATGTTTTGTAAAAAGAGCAAAAAGTATCATTACCTTTTAGAAGGGACAATGCTGTCCTGAAAGCATGAAAATTGGACCAATGTCGCCCTTTTTCAATTTTTTGACTAACGTTGACTAGCTAACAAAATTTTGATAAGCTCTCCACACCAGCATGCTTCATTAGTTGTCTCTGCGTTTTGTCTCGGAACTCATGCTATCGGTGCCGATTTACTCGACGATTTTGACGCTAGGGACTCCTTCCCTTCTGACTAGCTAATGTTGTTTCCTTCGACAAACAAGAATCAGAAACATGAACTTCAAGAAGCCATTTCTGATTCAAGGATCAGAAAGAACCAAAAATCAGTAACTGGGTTCTAAGATTGATGATGATCATGATGATGCGGCTCCATTGCAAGATTCTCCCTCATCATCCAATAGTACGAAATATCTGCCTCGGTTTTATCCATCAACCTCCGACAAGTTCTCCAACAACTTAAGAATAGTTTTATCTCCTTTAAAAGCCAATTCCTTTCGCATTTGTTTTGTCTTTTAGGATACGGTGGTACATTAGGGATGTTCATGGGTTGTGAATCCATATTTTGATAAGCCAATGGTTTTTTATATGAGGGTTTTATTTCAACGTGCGTTTTGGATTTTGTCCATCATCATATCTGGAGCTCCTAAGTAGTAATAATTTCTGCTTCTGCTACTTCTCTTATTTCTCCATCATCATCTCAAAGCTTTATCAGATTTCTTGAGTAACTTGAAGGTCCAGAGGATGATCAGCGACAATGATAAGAAGAGGGGCATGTTTTTGGTTCGTTGCTTTTTGAAGAATCGGAAGGGATGCAGATGAGAGTAAATTCTGAAGGGAGAAATTACGTGGCTTGCCACATCGGACTTTTTAGTAACTCATTGGTAAAACATTAGTCAAAAGTTAGAAAAAAAAAAAAGTAACATTGCTCCATTTTTCACACTTTGGATAACATTGCTCCTTCTAAAAAGTGAAGGGATTAGTTGTTCATTTGAGAAAACTAAGGCATTTTTGTCCTTTGACCATATATATATAGATCATTCTCATTTTGCAACCCCATTTTGATTTATTTGCGTGGAGGGAGCTTGGATTTCAATGACATTTGTTATATTGTAAGTGAGGGTATTAGTTGTTCATTTGAGAAAGCTTCTAAGGCATTTTTGCCCTTTGACCATATGAATATATAGATCATTCTCATTTTGCAACCCCATTTTGACTTATTTGCGTGGAGGGAGCTTGGATTTCAATGACATTTGTTATATTGGAAGGCCTTTATCATATATATATATATATATATATATATTTTTAAATATGGTGGGCAAAATGATAGATAGAAGAGATAATGTAATTTTTAGTCTCTCAATTTTGCCTTAATTATCAATTTAGTCCCTCAAGTTTAATATTTATTAATTTAGTCCCTTAAGTATACTTTGACAATCAATGTGATCCTTATTGTTTAAAAAGAAACATTACTACAAAACAAAATTTTAGGAGCGCTTATTTCAAAATGCTTACACAAGAAAGTGCTCTGAAATATAAAGGCGAGACATACGGGAATGCTTTATAATAAAGCGCTTCCAAAGGATATGTTATATCGGAGCACTTTTTTATAAAGCACTCCTATCAAATTATAAAAAAATATTGAAAAAAAATTTAACAACATTAAAGCACTTCTATAGGCTTAAAAAAAAGGAAATACAAAAATAATGATCTATAGAAGTGCTTTAATGGAAATTGCTCCTATAAATTGATATAAAAAATTAAAAAAATAACCACCTATAAGAGTGCTGTATAAGAAAGCGCTCCTCTAAGTTAAAACTAAAAAAAAAAGGAAAACAAAAATATGACCTATAGGAGCGCTTTAATGAAAAGTACTCCTATAAGTTGATAAAAAACCTTCAAAAAATAACAACTTATAGGAGCTCTTTTATAGGTCCACCAATTATAGGTGCCTTTCAGATCCCTTATATTATAAGTGCTTTGAAATATTTTTTTTTTTAAGTGAAAGCCAACATCAATTAACATTGTCGGGCATGCACGTGAGGCATTCAACCTTTCTCTTCAAAACCCCTGAAGCTTCATTATGTATATAAATGATTGTTTGATTAATATGTTATATATGTTATTTTGGATTGGTATAGATTTTTTGAGAAATTCTTGAACGTCTAAGTTATAAGGGAGGCTCTACCAAAATTTTTTCCAAATTTAATTTGTAGATCATATCTTGATTTCTAAAATATTAATTATCTCTATTTTGTTTCTAACATGTTTGGATAATTACATCTTAATTTATTATTTTTATAGGTACCTATACAAATAAAAAGCTAGGAGTGTGATTACTATGTGTTGAAGTTTATGAAAGAAATAATCACACAAATAGAGTTGATCATTCTGCCAAATGTAAGTATTTCAAAATTACATTCATGTCTTACATATAACATAAATAATTAACTATATATTGATTTTTTTTGTAGTATTTTGCTGCAGCAAGATCTTCGCATTTAAACATGGAGCAAATAGAAGATGTAATTAAGAAGTCATCAGAATATATAATTTGTTGTTTATGATAGGTAACATTTAATATTAGAAAAATACTAAAAGTTTTATTAGTTAATTAGCTAGACTAGCTAGAAATTAGATGAGTTAGAAATTTGATCTTAGTTTGTCTTAATTTCAAGTTCTTTAATTGTGTATAACTTTTAATGTTTAACTGCATCGTTGCTAGATTCATTTTTTTTATATTGTTACGGAATAGCTATAATTTACAATGAGCTGAACGTGATATGTAAAATTATAAAAAAATAAAAATAAAAGACATACGGGAGCGCTCCCAAAACAATACGATACGAGAGTGCTCTTTGAAAGAGTGCTCCCTTATTATAGCCTACAGGAGTGCTCTTACGAAGAGTGCTCCTATAGGTGACCATTCAAGAATGCTCTCAAGATGAACGCTTCTATATGGCGGCTTGTAGGAGCGCTCTTCTTTAGCGCACTCCCGTATGTCTTTATCTTTTCTTTCCTTAGAGATAAACCTATCGGAGCGCCTTTAATGAAAGCACTCCCATATTCTTGACCTATAGGAACGCTTATAAAGCACTCCTGTATATACAAAAGCGTTGGATATTGGAGCGCTTTGAAAGCACTCCCATGTAAAGTATTTTTGTAGTAGTGAAAGTTACATTGATAAAATTTGCTAATATGAATAATAGAATATTGATAGTAATCATGTAAATTAATGAAAAGAAGTATAATTATTTAAATAAGAAAAAACAAGCTCTGGAATTTTAAAAAAAAGAAAGGAAACCACAATGTAAAGGGTTATATTAATAAAAATTAAAATAATTAATTTGATAGTTAATTTGTTCTCATTTAGCTACAAATACATGACAAATCATCAATATAATTTACATATTATATTATTTTGAGAGTCAATTTGTGTATTAAAACTTAAAGGATTCATATTATAATTTAGGAAAACATAAGTTACCAAATAGATAAAAATTAAATTTGAGAAACCAAATCAATATTTGAGAAAAATTTGAGAGATAAAAAATTTCATTATCCCTAGATAAAATATCGGCTTAATTAATCTATTGTAAAGCCCAATGTCATATCCTTGAAACTTTCTTTTCCTTAAAC